CCCCTGTGTGCAGCAGGAAGGGGTTGCGTCGAAGTGGCTTCCTGTTCCCCGGTTTTGCCATTGGTAGCGTGTTAGCCGTGAACAGCTGATCCTCTGAAATGCTTGATGTCACAGATGAATCATCGCTTACATTGATGGTTCTTTTGCCTTCTTCACCACCACCGTTCTGTGCTCCTCTGTGGGAGGCCATAGAGCTGCCGGAGGTGTGTATAAGGCTGCTGTACAGCAGTGCCTCCCTCTGGAAGACATCTTTTTCAGGAAGGGAAGTGGTGCGATTCAAACCCAGGTTCTCTGGTGGGCTGAATGGGTTGCTCCTCTTCAGTGTTCCACCACTGCTGTTGCTGCCACCGTTTCGTCGCCCAGACACCTGACAGTGAACCAGTGGGATGTGATGCACTATCAGAGTTTCACCAGATAATTTGGGAGGGCTGTCCATCATGCAGCAGGAGGTGACTGTTGATTGAAGACAGTCAAATTAAGTACTAGGAAATTTAAGGTATTGATGGAGATGTTTACACTCCGATTTCTGGACCGAGTACCACGGAGGCACCACCACAGACACCAACAAAGAGGGCAGGGAAGTCTACAGCATGCTCAGAATGATACATCTGCAGAACACACAAAGAAGATCAATGAGATTAGAGCGTGGCGACACAACCAATAATTATACATAGACATAAAATAAAGTTGTGGCACTTCACAACTAAAAAGTTTTTCTGTGAAGATATTTTTCTCAACAAGAAAAAACAAAATGTTTTTTTTTCAATTAGACATGTGAATGCTTAAAAAGGACAATAAAGTGGGTGCCACATAAAAATAAGTTTTAAAAATAAGTTATTTAATATTTATTTAGTTAATTGGCAATACTCTGTAACTACTACAACTTAAAAATTAAACATAATAATATATTATATAATAAATAAATATAATAAATATATAATATATATTCATAATAAAATATGAATTAGTTCAGCAGAGAATTGCTGTTCAACTTTTGGAACTTTTAGAGGAACTTGGACTGCAACTACAACTGGTACTTGACTAAATAATATTCACAGGAAATGCAAGCACTAAATTGAATTAATTGTGCAACAGTAGTGTGTGTGTGTGTGTGTGTGTATGTGTGTGTGCATTCACAGAATCAATGACCTTTTGTTAACACACACAAAGAGTAAAAGAACTAAATAGAACAGACAGATTTTGGAAATGCCTCAGATCTAATCGGCCAATCACAGCTCAGGCCTGAGCTGTTTGTTACTGTGAAGACAGTGAGGATGAAATACAAGAGAAGTGGGTTCATTGAGCTCAGTGTTCCAGAGGAAAGTTCCCACAAGTAGCAGCCAGAAAAGTAGAAAATGGAACTTACTGGAGTTTAAATTATCTGGCCTTTAATGCTGTTACATATGCAATCAACCAACTTTTTCAACTGAAGCCCAAGCATTAGTAAAGTACAACGTTGAGGGCTGAAAAACATAAAAAAGTGTCTTTAATTTACAGTCTAAATCATCTAAATCATCATGTAAATGAAGACATTGTGCTTAATTTTTTGAATTAATTTTGTTGAACTGTGTAATAACTATAACAATGATGATTTATCACTATTCTGCCTTTTAGTTTTCCTCAGATTGTCATTTTGAACAGCTGCACATTCTCAGGTGGCTTCACTGTATGATTCAGAGGTGATTTGTGGATGTTGTGAAAGATGACATGTAAATGGTTGGAGTAAAAGCATAGTTGCAAGATAGAGGGTTAGACGGAGACAGGGAACAGCTGAAAGAAGAAGAAGAAAGTCTTTACATTTCGTAAGAAAAGGAGTCTAATGGCTAATGAAAGAAAACCATCATGACTAATGGGGTCATTAGTGAAAGTAAAGTATTGATCCACTGGCCTGGATTGACCTGCATTATTGTCTGCAACAAGGAGTTGATTTTCTGCTTCTGTAAAATCTATTTTAGAATCATGTTGGGCCATTTCATTACAATCCTAGTCAAAAGCTGTCCAAAATCTAAAAATCATTCAAACAGAAGCTCAAACATCTTTGATGCAGAGGAAGTATCAGCAAAGTGAACAAGTACAAGTTTAAATGTTCATGTAGTTCATGCACTGTAGTGCTGAGCTTAATGGGTTTACTATGTTGACTGTTTTTCAAATGCATTTTCAGACATTTTAATTGGACATTGGCTGTAAAGCCTCATGAGCACCATGTCTTTTCACACAAGTTCATGTCTCGGCATACAAAAAATATATATTTATGACAATGAGTTCAGTGTTTGCTTTGTTAAATTTTGTGTTTGACAGATTGAGCATTCACATCATACTTAACAGAAGTCCAGGGACACGCCTAAATCCCTGTGTTTAAACACATAAACGTCGCTTTGCCACATCACCTCATAGTGGTCATATAAAGTGGAACAAATGTGCAGCCTGAACTTTTAAACTTTACGCAGGAAAAGGATATTCCTATCTAAACCTGCTTTAAAGCTCACGAAGAATTAACTAAGCGCAACAATAAATCCAAGTGTAAAAGATGTGTGTCTGACCAGTAATACAGAATACACAGACATACAGACAGAGTATGTGCAGTACATCCAGCATCCACAGGCCTTATATAACAAACACATTTCAAATGGGTGAAGCAGCCATATTTATATTATAGTATATATAAATATATACTGGGTTTTAAACTATACTGTACTATATATATATATATATAAGCAATGGGCTGTGATTAAATTTTTTGCAAGGTTTGGGAAAATTGTAATAATTAATCAAAAATGTTTTTTGTGTTGTTTTTATAAAATAATTGCAAATTGGACAACAAAGCAAAACTATTTGGTTTGTTGTCAAAAAACAAGTTACCTTCACAGGCCAAAAATAACAAACCTAACATCATAAAAAAACCTGCAGCAAGATAACAGGAATTTTAAATTCATTATTTAAAATAATATTCCTACAATCCACTAAAAGGTAGCAATATACATTTGTTTCTGTAAACTTCAATCACTGATTTTCTCTGTATAACAATATTAAATTACCTGTCTAACCTAATATCAGTCATTTCAGACGAATCTTTCGTTCTTTGTTATTGTTATACATCTACATATGAGGGGTGTGACAATCAGACAATGCCGAGTTGATGAAGTCATATCTAATCTGTTCATCTATTCCGGGAACAACATAATACACACAGACTTACTAAATCCGTACCAAATAACCTGTGAGCAGTGCCATAACTGATGATCATTTTGATGACAGACAGATACACATAGCTGTTTACATCAACTAGACTCCCACCATGTTATGATCATGAACACAAGAGAAAAAGTAAACAGGAAGTACAATTAGTCCAACTTCACAATAAAAGCTTTGGCAGTTCTCAACTTTACACTCACTATTCGATTGTTAATGTTCTCACTGGTACTAAAATATACTGGAATATGCATATTTGAATGTATTTTTGTGGGCTTAAATAAATAAACTGCTTCAAATGATGTAGCAAAGAAACTAACTGATATTACATGATGATGTAAATGCCTTTATAAACAGCTTTCTGGACATTCCAGAGGACCAAGTGTTTATTAAATAACCTTACGTTATTATACTTACATATATACAGTATATATAGAGTATATACTGTATATATAAAATATATATACAGTATATACTGTATGCATGTTTCCATTTGTAAGACCGAGCATAATTTCTGCAACTCCAAGCGGAAATGGATTGTTTACGTTTCTGTAACTTCACGAGAAAATGATAGCCATTTGTGATGATTTTATGTCATAATAACGGTACTTACAAAGTACTGAACAAAGAACTGAACAAAGAAAAGGAAACAGTGCCAGTTGTTTACACTAATTTTTCAGAACAATTGGGTAAACTGCACTGATGTGAAAGCAGGAGTAGACGCACTAATTTGCGTCTTTGTGATAAATAAAACAACAAACAAGCACACAAAAAAACGTCAGAACAACATTTGACTGCTCTGTAATAATTAAAAGAAAAGAAATAATTAATTTAATGTGGTGTAGGAAGCAGATTTGATGACGAACTTGCGGGGTTTAAATTCTGCCTTAGCGATGAATAAAATAACACACAGCGTCATATTCGCAGCTAGCAGCATTGTTAGCATTATGACAGACAGACGCGGTCGCACTATTTAACATTACGTTCCGTTTAATTTTTAACTAATCCACACTATACCTGTGTTTGGGAGAGGAGAGGTCGCACATTTAAATATGATTAACTTGATTAGAAGGGAGTCAGAAAAATCACAGCGGCCTTTTATCATTATCTTCAGCGTCTGCCCTGACGATGCTCCTGTCAATACATCGACTAAAATCGCTTTAGCTGCTTGAATCAAATGTTAGATAACAAAAACGCTTACCTTGCTGTTGTTGTTTTAGTTCAAGTCGGTGAAAACACTGACGATCACGGTGATGACAGAGGTTGAGATCCACTGCTGCACATCGCAGGATGATGGGCGTGGTCATGGCGAAACGTCACAGACCTGTGGAAGTATTAGTAATTAGCTGAGAAATTGCTGCAAGATTAAAAAAAATCGCCAGTTTTATGCCAGTTTTAGTATATTTAGTGGTTAATTGATAAACCTCTTATTTGAGTTTTTTACGCTGATTAAGATGTATGAAAAGTGCTATCCCTAATTTGAAAATACAAATTTAATAATTATTTCACAATTGCATCATTTGTGACTGATAATCAATGGCGTATTATGTGTCTGCCAGCACGCCCTCACACTGTCATCAAACGTTGTGATTGGTTCTTACAGCAAGGTGACAAAAAACACTTTTTGTAACTTCCCGTGAGGAGGATTGTGTGTCGGTTTAGGTCAATTTGAACTAGATTCAGGAAATTGGTCCAAGCTTTGACTGCAGATATGGGGCTGGTGATTTGGTAATTTATGTTTCCTCTGCAACTATCTATATCAAAATAAAAACTGAACGGTTTTGAGCATAACTCAAGTTCGCAACGAATCTGAGGTTTTTATTCTAACTACTACTTAATTTGAAAATAATAATTTGATTTTTTTTAAAAATACTTACTAATGGTCTAATTGTGTATAACTCAGGTTCTCTCTTTTTTTTTTACAAGTTGTGTCTTGTCAGTCTGGTTTTCTCACAATCTGAAACGTTTTTTTGGGAAACACATGCTAATTTTCTAAATTGACCACATGCGTGAATGTAAACGTGAATGGTCTGGAAAACTATTCAAAGTTAATCCACAAACACCTGATGTTTGACCAGGTGATCTCATCCAGAGGATCCTGAAAAGGACAAAGAGTCGGTTTATTTCAAAATACTCTGTTTGTGCCACAACAATTAAAATCAACCTTCCCCAAAACTCCCAACTATGGCAAAACATAGTGAGAAGTTTACTTTGGGAAAACTTTCAAGCCAAATTACAATGTGGATTTTGGTAACTTTAGAATTCTACCAAATTAATTAATGAATTCATCTTTATGTGAAGTTCAATTTTATTCCTGATTGATACCTCTTTTTTAGGGTCCTTTTTTTGTGGCTCTTCTATATATGGGGCCTTCAAACCAGAATCAAATGTAAGTTCTTATACTAGGTTGAGGTTATTTTTTACTGAGTTAATATGATAAATGCTTAATTTGTTATGTAAAAACATGGTTCTTCATTTTCAGATTCTGGCTTTAGATTTGAGCCAAGGATGTTGGAGTTGGGCCTTGAGCCTGAAGTTATTAGCCATTCGGGCACCCTTCAACCCAAAACTCTGCAAACAGACGTTCAACCCAAAGCTCGATGCAAATCTCAGGAGAACAGAGTCTATGCCAAAGCTAAACTCAAATTTCAGCAGATCCTTGTAAAACCCAAAGCTCAAGCTGAATCACTGATAAGAAAAATTCATCTTCTAGCACAACACAGATTTAAACAGTCCCAGGTCCAACCTGAACTTCAGCCTAGATCTCAGCAGTGGCTTGTCCAGCAAAAATCACTTAAACAACTCCAGGTGTTAAATGAAGAACTCAGAGATCAGCATTCTTAGGTTTCAAACAACGACTTTCAGTTTCACCAGCACCCCTGCACAGCAGAGTTCCCAAAAACCAGATAAAAAGGATCCCAGACCTTGGCTGACCAGAATCTTCAAATATCAGTGATAATTCAGTTGCAATATTTGACTTAATCAGTGTTGGATGCTAAAAATACCTTTTAAACCCGAACAGATCTTCAAACATTGGAATTATGAATAAAAACGGCCCGACAACTCTATGTTAATAGAAATTTGATGATTGAACACGTTTTCAGGTTGTTTTTATTTCTGATCATTGTCCTGCAACGAGCTGCTGTGAATCTGACACCTGTCCATCTAAAGAGATCTTATTGAGTACAAAAGTCTTAAAAAAATTATATAGATATATATATTTATTATAAACATATTTAAATTTCACTATTTGTTTCACTGTTATGGGTACATTTTCATAGTTTTTTTTATTTTAAATAAAATGTAGCAGGAAACTAAAGTTCTTAAATGATAATGTTTATGCTATTTTTCAACAATAAAGAGAACATAAAAATATATTTGAATTTATGAAGTAAGAGCTCATTTCCATATTGGGGGGGGGGCAGAGGAGTTTCCAAAACATGGCCACCCAGCAGTCTGACACATGACACCTTAAAACAGATGAAATAAGAGCTTGTGAAGAGCCAGAGTGATACATCTCACATCCTCTGCACTCTTTGTTAGACTCGCTCTCAGGTTATCAAGCCCCGCCCATCAGCCCTCCTCCTTTTGGGGCCATCCGCTTCTTTTCCTGTAGACGTCAGAGACACACCTGCGTAGGTTCAGGTGAGAGAAGGTCGTCTTGTTTTTTGAGCGGGAGGTAAGTAAAACCCTTATTTTTTTTATCGCTTTAACTATTTTTCTTTTTTAGTAGTGTGATAATTCTTTCTTACATACTGTTTGTTTGGTTGCTAATGTGAAGCTAAACATTTGCTCTGGTTATCACAGTAGGAAACAGACACCTAACCTGTGTGCTGTCTTTAACCTTGTTTATAATGTTATAAACAATCTGAAATGTCACTTGCCCTATGTACCTTACCTCATGTCCTTGACCCCTCTAATGATTCCAGTTTAATTAACCTAGGTTTGGTTGCTTTGTGATTTGATTGATCCTCAATCAATCATGTTATTACACCATAAATCAGGTTGTTAGTGTCATTAACCTGTTGTGTTAGATTCTTGACACTGCGCAGTGTGTTTAACATGATATTAATGTTAAGCACAACTTCACTGAACACAGTTTGATGTCATCATGGTGCTCTGATACTAACGTCTGATCTGTGATGTCATAAAGCTTGAATTTTAGCCCACATGTGACCTCTATGACATTGCTGTAATGTTATATGCATTATTTCTGACATCATAAAGCTCGTTTGTACTGTTAATGTTCAGTGATGTCAGAATAAACATGTGGCTAGAAAACTGTTGGGTTTATAAATGTATTTTTAAATTAACTACCTTGTCATTTTTGAAATGAGCTGAATACATAATCCCCACCAATCATGCAAATAGCTTTGAACTACGTCATTCTTTTCTCTGTGTCACATGTGTAATGTCTGTTACTGACTCTGCGATGAGGTGAGCTTTTTCTGAGGCTGTTACGCTAAACTGTGAAGCTCATGTGCCATTGTTGTGATGTCACTGGGTTTCAGAGACAAAGATGTGGCAGCGTTTAGTGTCACTGCTGTTGCTGATGATCACCACCACAGCGACCAGTGGTGAGACACACCTCCATGACTCAAATACTCAGGAACTGACATGTCACAGTCATTAACTTGTGTGTTATGTGACCACAGGTGGATCTCTGCCAGGTAAACCTGTGCTGCTGGGCTGCAGGTCACCTGACAAAGAGACTTTCACCTGCTGGTGGGAGCCAGGATTTGATGGAGGGCTGCCAACCACGCACCGCATGTTCTACAGGAAAGATCAGTCAGTCATTTCCATTTTTGATATACTTATTTTAAGGTTTTAAGTCAGCCACAGGTCACAGAGAAGATCAATGAGTTTTATATCAGGTTGTTGATCCAACACTATCCTGATGTATTTTTGTGTGTTTAAGTGTTTAATTGTTTAAATTAGTTTCTTGAAGATTTTTCTGCGACAGCAGCTTTTGTGTCTCTCTGAGCTAATATCAATGATATTGTGAAGGAGTGACTGGTTTGGTTGAACTGATTGTCAGTACCATTTCTCTTTAGTTCTTCTATCACTGCAAAAACAACTGGATGGAAAACTACCAGTTTCCTTGTTAAATATTTTCTGCAGTGGGAGTCAATCACCACCATTAGAACAAACATGTTATGATCCATTTAGATGTAATCTAACCAATGGCTAAATAATAAAATAATGGAAAAGTATGGAAAATTCATATCAAATGTGAAAATCTATCCAATTATTAGATTATAATACACATATTGGAATATATAACAAATAAAAAGTAAACAGATTATACATAAAATTGTGTTAAATTTGAAGTTATTAATTGTATTGAAGAACCATTACGCATGTATTACATTATTAAAACTACATGTAGATATAAATCCATGTATTCCAATATGTTATGCGCGTACAGGCATATCAACAGTCCACAGCTCCATGTAATTTGTACTTCTAATGACCCATGTTTATTCCACAGACTGGAGGGAATTCTAGAGTGCCCAGA